AACTCCAATTTCCAGAAAGCCTCAAGGATAAGTGGATATGTTTATTTCTTCTCATTCACTTATTCACTCACTCCTTTTCCCCCAGTGGTTTTTGGTATGTCCACAAAGTTGTGCAACTATCAACTATCTAATTCCAGAACATTTTCGTCACCCAAAAAGAAACTGAAACCCATTAACCATCATTCCCCCTTCCCATTCATTCATTTCTAAGGCCTGGCTAGGGTAACCCTGTAAGTTCAACGGCAGAGCGTACATTAGAGAATACAACTTCAGAGAAACAAGATGCTGGAGAAGTGAAGTTCAATTTCCTGCAGGATCTGCTGGGAGCCTGAATCAATGAAAAGCTGAATAAAGGTCCTAGCTGGTCAGGCTGACAATTTTCCCTCAGAGACTAAGGCAAAGCCACAATGCTTGATTAATTGAAGAGAATGGGTAGCTGTTACTCTGAACCCAGTCCTGCCCAATAAGGAGGAACTGGCAAGAAGAGCGCAGGCCCTAATAGCCAGGGAGGCGAAGTCTGGATACAGGCAGCCATGAACTTCAGACTTCATAAAAGCAGAAATGACTCCATGACATGGGAGATGGGCTCACACCTCATCATCCACTGGACACCAAAGAATATTTAGGATGCTAAGTTGAGAATTTTTGACTCAGAAGACACATGATAACTGTTATCTAGTAACTGACAGGTTGTCAAACGAGACACTAGATTTGTTCTATACGGCCCCAAGAGGCATAAATGGGACTAATGAGTGGAAAATTACAGGAAGAGAGCAGTGTTTCAGATCATTACAGGGAAGGATTTCCTAACAGTCAAGCCATCTTAAGGCAGAATGAATTGCCTCTAAGGTAGAAAGTTCAAATGCAATCTAGACATTCCATAAGTGGATGCGGTGGAGGTAATTAAAAAACCAGAGGGTGATCTGACAACTGTGGCATTCCCACACTTGAGCGTTGAGGTCAGCTGTGAGGTAGGCTGCAAGTGACCTGGCACGATAATAAAACACTGAGGCGCACGATTACTGTCTCCAGATTCTGGATTATCACTATAATGCCACTCCTATTCACTTATATCACTAAACATTTTCTTGAACAAAGGTGAAAAAACTCTACATTGCTGGGTAATGCTCATGGGAGTGTTCTCCTGAAGTGTGTTTTCAGGCTAAGAAAAGTGGAGAATTACCAGGTTGGATGACTAGTAGAATCCCTTCCAAGCTGAGATTTCACGAAGATAGGTGGCACCCTCTCCTCCGCCTGCAACCTAATTATGATCTACTGGTAGACAGGTGGTCACTGCGATTTGTTGAATTGATCACTGGAGTGCCTCACCTGATAGACACTGCTAACAAGTCCTGGAGTACATCTGAACTCTACCAAAAAGGAAAGTGAGGACCAGGTATGTCCTGGTCAGAGTACATCTGAACTCTACCAAAAGGGAAAGTGAGGACCAGGTATGTTACATCTGTCTGCTTTTCACAGAGTGGTCATTCAGATAATTTTAATGAAACCAAAGGAAAGTTAAACTTTACAGTTTCTTTAAAAAAAAAACAAACAAAACAAAACTACAGATGACATAAATAGGCCAAGAAAACACTATTTGTTTTTTGAAACTTTAACATTTTTCCCCCTAAGCAAGAATTGACATGAACTGGTAACTACCTCAACCTGAACTTAGCCAATCTCACCCCAATCCAAACTGGAAATGACTTTCCCTTTTCAACTCCTTGGATAAACGGCCCTGGCAGAAACTGTTGTCACAAAGGCCAACTGTAGAAGTGCCACCGTAAAACTGTTTGCTGACCAACTCAGGCCTTTTCGGAGTCTTCCCTGACTCCTTTTCCATGTCCTTTCTCTGCTGCTCTGCCAAACTGCTCCTCTGGAACGACAGAGAAACTAAGTGGATGGAAGGTGTCTGGTCACCTGGTGCAGCAGGCTACTGAGCGGCCTGTGATTTCTGGCACCTCATAATATTTTTGTATTACACAATTTTTTTCATTATAAAACTATTATTGCCACATTATAAAAATTTGGAAACTAAAGAAAGGAAAAAAAATCTCTTATGATCCCATCATTCAAATAAAATCACTGCATTTTGGTGCATTGCTTCCTCTCCTCCAGGGCTCTTTGTATATAGTTCCATGGGCTGCGTCTAATTAGCTTATTTATACATACCTCAGCTCTTCTACAAAGAATTTGCAGCAACTAACATAAATATCATCAGACGGACAACTCCACGCCAACATACTCTCTCCCAAACCAGCTTGTACTCCTGATTCCCATTTCTAACTTATGGGTTCCATCTCCCAGTCATCCAGGTTGAAACCTTGGCATCATCTTGGACTCTTCTCCCTCAACCCCAGTATTCATTTCCATAGATTCTTCTGTCATTATCCCTTTCTCACATCTGTCCTTCCCACCCCAACCCCCCTATTGATTTTGCTACCATCTAGTCCAAGTCCATAACTATTGCAATGTTTCTCTGACTCATTTTCCAGCCTCTAGTTTCTCTCCTTTTCCTTGAAGTGCTAAATTATTTTCCTCTTTTTGAATACTCTCTTGCTGAACAACATCTGCTTGCCTTTCCATTGTCTAACAAACAAAAAACACTATTTGGTCTGAAAATTTGTCCCCAAATCTGTCCCCAGTCTATATTTCCTACCATATCTTTGACCACTTCCTCTAAGAAACCTCTGCTGACACACTTGTACCCTAGACATAAAACTGCAGTGTATGCAGTGAGTAGGGTAGGACATGTGCCAGCTCCCTGGAATCCCTGCAAGGTGCAGCGTTCCAGGCCAGCTGAGACAGAGGAACAGGTAGTAGATGTCTCCTTCTGCTATTATCAACTATGAAACTGGACAAAACAAAGGAAGCAATTCTGTCCAAGCATTACACAAACAGTAGAGGTGTGAACCTAGAGGGAAGGAAAATATGAGGAATGAGGTCCATGGTCACCTGGCTTTCAGCCTAGGGGCATTTTTCACACTGTGGCTTAGGGAAGTGGCATCTACATACCGAGCAGGTATGCCTAAGCCTCTGCATGCAACAGAGATTGCTAAGAATGTAAGAAATCAAGCCAGTACTTGCCTTTTGAAGTAGGCTGCTTGAATTTTGGATTTTAAAAAGATACAATTTCTCTAAAATTTCCAGGGGACCTTTTCTCTTGTTATGCTTTATCTTTCTTTATTGAGGCTGGGCACAGTGGCTTGTGCTTGTAATCCCATGGTGGCTCATGCTTTGGGAGGCCAAGGCAGGAAGACTGCTTGAGCTTGGGAGTTCAAGGCTGCAATGAGCCACTGAATTCCAGCCTGGGCGACAGAGTGAGACCCTGTCTCTAAAAATCGATTAATTAATTAATTTTTAAAAAAGAAAATACTGAGCAATCTTGCCCATAGTTTCAAGGAAGATAAAAACAGGAGATATGAACATCTTTGCAATGTTTTAAAAGACTAGGCCACTAGGCCATCAGTGCTTGGTAGCAGACTGAAACTGCAACGGTGGATATCCACATTGGGCAAGTGTCAAAGGCCATGTTAGTGCCAAGATCATCTGTGAGGATGACCAAAGCCAAAGCAGTCACCCAGAAGCCACCCTAGAGAGGGGCAAGAAATAGGTAAAAACTAGAAGCAGCACATCTGCGGTGTTAGAAGAGGGATTGCGGGTGCTGGGCATGGTGGTTGATGCCTGTGATTCCAGAACTTTGGGAAGCTGAGGTGGATGGATCACTTGAGCCCAGGAGTTCAAGACCAGCCTGGGCAACATGGTGAAACCCCATCTCTACCATAAATACAAAATATTAGCCAGGCTTGGTGGCGTACATCTGTAGTCTCAGCTACTTGAGAGGCTGAGGTGGGATGATCACCTGAGCTTGGGAGATTGAGGCTGCAGTGAGCCATGATCATGCTACTACACTCCAGCCTGGGCAAAAGAGTGAGACTCTGTCGAGAAGAGGAGGGGAGGGCAATGGAGGGGAGGGGGAGGGGAGGATTGGTAGGGTTCACTTTTCTCACATCCTACACATTTTTCCTTTGAGAGTCAATTGCTGCATTCCCTTCCTCCAGCTATAATTTCCAAAGACAACTAGCCTCAATTCTACTTTTACCTGCTCAGTAACATCCCAGAAGAATGTTTAAAGAGCCCCTATCAGTTTGCCTTTCTCAGCTTGCTGGACAGATGAAAACCTACTGGGAGTAGCCCAGGCTTCTCCAGCTCAGCCCTAGAGAGGCAGTTCTCAGGGTTCCTGCTACCCAACTGGAAGCATGACTTTGAAGAGTACCCTTTCAATCACGTTATTTGGTATTAAATTCAGGTAAAGAACCCTATGTCTCTCCCAAGCAGAGCCCTTAGGAACTTTCTTTCTGTGATACCTTACACCAACACTGGAACTATCTGAAGGGCCAAGGCTTGCAATTCATTCTTTTGCACTCACTGTTGCCCCTTCTGAGGCCCAAGAAGAGTCTAGTGAGAGAATATTTCTCATTCTCACCCTCACCAACGTCACCACAGGAACACAATCTTTTTTTTCTCTTTCTTTCTTTTTTTGAGATGAGTCTCGCTCTGTCGCCCAGGCTGGAGTGCAGTGGCACGATCTCAGCTCACCGCAAGCTCCGCCTCCCGGGTTCACGCCATTCTCCTGCCTCAACCTCCCCAGCAGCTGGGACTACAGGCACCCACCACCACGCCTGGCTAATTTTTTTGTATTTTTAGTAGAGACGGTTTCACCGTGTTAGCCAGGATAGTCTCGATCTCCTGACCTTGTGATCCGCCCGCCTCGGCCTCCCAAAGTGCTGGAATTACAGGCATGAGCCACCGCGCCCAGCCCAGGAACACAACCTTAAGGTCACATAGTTGTAAAGGCTCAGAGGCCTGTGGCAAGTTCAGGCACAAAGCAAACCTAGCCTTGCATAGTATGCTGCTTAGGGAGCGCAGGGCAGCCAGGCAAACCACACAGGCATGCAGACTGCCTGCTGCCCAGGATGCTATAGAAATTTCCATCCTACCATCAGCGAGTGGCTTGCAGGAGAGGGCGTCATCGAGGTCTCGGGCGGTTGATGGGTCAATGGTGAAGATACAGTCTTTTCTAGGAAAGATTGAAGAAACAATTAGCAATGCCACAAATAATAGCAACTTTACCCCATCATAGTACAGCTTTAAAGAACAGTGAATTTTGTATATGTGCTCTGTTAGGGAAAGTGAAAAATAACTTCTATGAGAATGAGATCTTTAGTTAACTGTGAGACTGGGAAGAGACAAATGGGTGAGTGATTTTCTCTTCCTCTGTGTGAACTGGCACCTACTTCTCCTTCACCCCAAGCCAGAAGAGATGTGAATGGGTGAAAATGAGGCTGCTTCCATGAACGAGGCTTCTCAAGAAGAGTTGGCCGACAAGAGAGGCAAGTTACTTTGGTAAATTATTCTTCAATTTACAACTTTGGTAAAATATCCTTCTCCAGTGTCTGATGGGAAGCTGTCCTTTAAGGACCTCTATGAAGATAATTTACTGTTCATTCTCCTATATTGAAAAAAATGGGGGTATGCCAAAGAATAAGTCATCTGACATGCGATACAGGGGGATGAGACCCAACAATAAGCTTTGCAAAAAAACTGGGCCGTACAGTTAACCATAAAATAAGCCTACCTGGAAGTAGCACAAATCACAGTCTGTTTCCACAGAATAATTATATACTACAACCAAGCTTATACTAAGTTCACCATTTTATCCTTGCACGGTATCCTTACGAACACTGCACTCTTAACCTGTGAAACTCTCATTCTGTTTATAGTTTCCCATATAGCATGCCTGACTCAACCCACCCATTTCCACCATGTAAACACCTAAAGATTTTGGCAGCAGCTGTCCTTGGCTCTCCATACCTCTGGCCTTTCCTGCCTGGGCACTGCCTGGAGATTGGGGTATTCTGCAGCAACTGCCCTTCTGCCTCCATGCCACACTCTCTCAGTCAGTGCTCACTGCTTCCTAGGTTCTTCCTCCACTCCAACCAGTACTAGCAGTGCACTGCCACCATTTCTCTGTCTTTTGCTGATTCATCAACACTGATGATGTTGTCCATACTTGTACCAACCATGATAAGACAGGCTTTGTTCTTAAAGACTTCTTTCCTGGTGTTGCTCCTCTGTTCAAAACTTCCTTGGCAGGAGTGAGCTATGATTGGGCCACTGCACTCCAGCCTGGACAACAGAGCGAGACCCTGTCTTCAGAGGCTGCCAAGCTGCTCTCGTGCTGGCCTGCCACAAGCTCTCGGGGCCTTTCTCTGTCTCAGTCTTAACTGTCCACTTACCCTACTCCTAATTACTCCCAACAGCCCTCTCTAATCCTAACCACAATACTTCGATCCTAAGACAGTATTAATTATAAGATGCACCATCAATTCTGTAATAGCTTTTGAAGAAATAAAAACCCCACCACATTAAATATATACATTAATTTTAAGACATTTTAGAATTTCAAAAATGTCAAATGTTTAAAAAATAATAACCTTGTTTGGATGGCTCACTGCAGCCTCAACCTCTTGAGCTCAAATGACCCTCCCACCTCAGACTCTCAAGCAACTGACAGTATAGGTGCATGCCACCATACTGGAGTAGTTTTAAAACTTTTTGTAGAAACAGGATCTCACTCTGTTCCCCAGGCTGGTCTCAAACTCCTGGCTTCAAGGGATCCTCTCAATTTGGCCTCCCAAAGTGCTGGGATTATAGGTGTGAGCTACCATGCCCAACCCAAAAAGTAATCTTAAATGGTAAATGGACAACCAGACTGTGGTACACTCCCAAAATGGAACAGTAATTAGCAACAAAAATTAACAAATTATTCATAAATCCAACAGCCTGGATGAATCTCAAAGGTATTGAACTGAGTGAAAAGAGCCACTCTCAAAAAGAAAACAAAGCACTTTGGGAGGCCAACGTGGGCAGATCACCTGAGGTCGGGGGTTCAAAACCAGACTGGCCAATGTGATGAAACCCCGTTTCTATTAAAAATACAAAAATTAGCTGGGCATGGTGGCATACGCCTGTAGTCCCAGCTACTCAGGAGACTAAGGCAGAAAAATTGTTTGAACCCGGGAGGCGGAGGTTGCAGTAAGCCAAGATTGTGCCACTACATTCCAGCCTGGGCAAGAGAGAGAGACTCAGTCTCAAAAACAAAAAAAAAAGGGGGGGGTGGGAAGAGGGGAGGGGAGAAAAAGAGGAGAGGAGAAGAGGAGAACAGAACGGAATGGAAGGAAAACAGAGATAAGACAGAGAGCAGATCAGTGATTGCCAGAGCTAGGAAAGGGATGCTTGTATGGGGGCAGCAGAAGGACTGGAACTAAATCTATACATGTCTTAAAATTCACAGAATTTTACATACAGCAAAAGGAGGTCAATTTTATTGTTTACTATTTTTTAAAAAAATTAATGTGACTTTCAAATCAAGAAAAGTAAAACATATATGTTAAATATTCATAGGGTTGATCGACAGGTGCTAGATTTATGGATTAATTTTTTTCCCCTTTAATGTGTACTTTTTCATATTTTTAAAATTTTTCAATGCAATTGAATATTACTTTTGTAAATGGAAAAAATAAAAACTGTAGAGAATCTTCCTCAATCAAAAAACAATTGATCAGATATGTATTATTGTTTGTACATAGATTTAGCTATCTTGTAACATTTGTTACAAGATGCATTTGGCTTAATATAGTTAATGGCTTCAAGATTACAGATCTGGTAAAAACTGTGTCTCCACTGGATGCTAAGACAATAGGGCAGGGAAAGCTGGGTGCCATTCAGGTGGCGGGAACAAGAGCATTTAGAGTGCAGATCCCAGAAAGGGTGGTCAATCAGGAGACCCACTCTCCCACTAAATATTTCGAGCAGAGTCACACACAGTGTACGGAACATGAAGGTTCAAGCCTCAAGATATACAGAAGTAATTCTGGTTCCACTATATAAAAGAGGTTGTAAGCAAGAGTGCCAGAGGAGAAGAGAAACACTGATCTCCTGGAACGTGTGCTCCAAGGGCTGTGTTCCCAGAGCCTTGAACAGAGGCCGCACCTCAGACATGTTTGCTGAATGAACAGATGGATGGCAATAGGAAGTGCCCAGGAGGTGAAATCAGACCTGGCACCACAGCAATGGGCTGTAATTGATGAGGATCTTGAACTTGGCTCACAAGGTAAAGAAGGAAGTATCCACTTCTGTCTCCTTTTGGTATCTCCCATAAAACCTAACCAAATGTTTTATATACACTGAGTACTCAATAAAAAGGACTTGTATAACTGAAACTAAAAAGTCAGACATGGTAGTAGGAATGTTTGGTTCTTCTTTTTTCATCATAATGACATCATAAAAGCCAAAAAAATGTTCCCCTAGTCAAAATCAAAAAGAACTCCATTAGCTTGGTTGCAGGTGGGAAACCATAGTTTACTAGATTACTTGGAGGGTTGACTAGGAAGTTTTATTTTCTTAAAATTAAATGTCTCTGGGTGCTTTGAGACTTTCATTTCTATCGATCCGGTGCATGAATGATAATGCCCATTAAGACATTTCCAGCCTGAAGTTGATTCAACCATATGTGACCGTGTAAGATAAACAGTGTAAGACTGTTTATCAGTTTGTAAATGTCTTCTTTGGGAGCACCCACAACTGCTTTCTAAGGAAAATCCTAGACTAGTCTGTAAGGACTCAAACCAACTCTCTATTACCTTTAACACTTTTTAATCTGCTCTTAAACCAGAAACATAAAAGTCTAAATTAAAATGGAACCTGACAAACAGTACTCAGGAAGGCTTGCTTGCTGGAAAGGTAAGCCATCCAAACATTATTCCTGATCAGGAATTGGCAAACCATATTACACTGGTCAAATCTGGCCTGCCACTTGTTTGTGAATGACCTACAAGATGAGAACAGTTTTAATATTTTAAATGACTAAAAAATAAAAAATCAAAAGGAGAATACTATTCTGTGACGCAAAAATGATAGTGGAAATTCAAATTGCACTACTCACAAATAAAGCTTTATCGTACATAGCCACACTTTTTCTATACAATGGCAGTGCTGACTAGCTGTGACAGACAGCTGTTTTAGTTGTGCCTAAAATATTTGCTATGTGACCCTTCGCAGGAAGTTTGCTGACCCCTGTTTTAGATCAATGTTTCTGAATGTGCCAATTAAGTGTTTTATTTTTTTTAAAAAAAGGTCTTGTGATTAAATCAGTTTGGGAAATACTGGGCTGATTTCTTAATTGTAGGGCTTCAAGGAGCCTTTAATATGCCAGTATCAATAGTTCTTGCCCAACCCATTTGCTCCTGGCACTTCTCTGTGGGACAGCATCTCCCAGAACCAAGATTCCTCAAGGGAGCACCTTTGGAGATACGAAGAACTGCACTGAAACACCCTGCACAGGCCTCCCATGGTGCCCTCGTCCTACTTGGGGCTTTGCCACCAAGGCTACCCCAAGGGACACTGCAAGAAGTCAACCAAATGACTGCTATCACTGCAGGGAAGCAGGGAGAACAAGGGCCCATCTGACCATGCAGTATCCTTTTATAGAGTGCACTTATGGGGAAAGTTGATGCAGTATAGGGAAACACTCTTCTCGTGACAATCTGTATCTTACAGACACACAAATTTTATCCTTGATGGTTTCCCTTTTTATGCTATATGAACTGTCTGCTGTACAAAATAAAATAAATAAACTTTAAAAAGCTTTCCTTTTTGCTTTGGCTGCTAGGAAACTCAGAAAACCTTCCTAACTTGCCTCTAGGAGATTTTATTTATAGTTTGCACTTTGTGAACTAACCCTTATCCTGGCTGTGCCTAATTTTCCTACTCACGTGTTCCTTTTGCCTCATTTCCTAATTTTTAAAAAACACTTGCTGGGCACAGTGGCTCATGGCTGTAATTCCAGCACTTTGGGAGGCCGTGGTGGGCAGACTGCTTGAGCCCAAGAGTTCAAGACCAGCCTGGGCAACATGGTGAAACCCTGTTTCTAAAACAAATACAAAAATTAGCCGTTGCGGTGGCATGAGCATATAGACCCAGCGACTCAGGAGAAGTAGGTGAGTACTCCTGAGCAGT